ACTAGCATCTAAGAGTTTTAAAAATTGACAATTAAAGGTAAATAATTCGGGGCGCTCAGATGGCTCAGTCGGTTGAACGTCCGATGTCGGCTCAGGTCACGATCTCGAGGTTCGTGAGTTTGAGCCCTGCGTGGGCTCCGTGCTGACAGCTCAGAGCCTGGAGCCTGTTTCGGATTCTGTGTCTCCCTCTCTCTGGCCCTCCCCTTCTCACACTCTGTGTGTGTGTCTCTCTCTCAAAAATAAATAAACATTAAAAAAAAAGATAAATAATTCAACATGTAAAACATCCACCTCACTGGATGACCCCTAGGGCCATGTTCATTCTATAATTCGATAATTCTAGAAGTGAAAGGCTCATCTTTCTGCTGCATATACAGTTCAACTGATAAGGCTTGGTGCCGTGCAGAGAAAAGATTATTCATTTGCTTAAAAAGAAAACATGAAAATTTCTTCCATTCCCCTTTCCCGTCTGGCATTTGTATTACACTTTTAGTTTTAAACCCTGATTTCATTTAATGGTCTGCAACCACCACAAACAAAAACATCTTATGCTTTTAGCGGTCCATCTTGTCAGCGTATCCGCCTCGCTAAATTATAGAATTCTCTGACTCATCGGGATAACATATTATCCTCTAGACAGCAAATTGAAAAAAAGCAATTTTCCCATCTCTGAGACAGATAATCGATCTGATTTTGCTGTCAATGTTACTGCCGTTCACTCTATCACTCAGGCTTGAAACCTCAAGATTATTTTTACTCTGTACCTTTCATTGCCCACAGAGTCCCCAAGTTGTAATGAGTCGCCTTTAATAACGTCTCTTGCGTCAATCTCCCCTGCTACCACCTAAGTTCAAGTCCCTATTATCTCTCAAACTCAGATGGCCAAAATATTCTCTTTTCCCTTAATAACTTGTACAGGGCTTCTTTTATTACAAAAGTAATATGTGCTCATGATAGGCAATCTGGAAATTTCAGAAAGTTAGAGAATAACATCAATTATCCACACGGTCCTTCTGCCCAGATGATCATTTTGACTCCTTTCTTTCCACTCACTGTTCTATGCGTACATTCGTGTGGTTTTATAAAAGTTAGGATTGTAATGTACTCTGCAGTTATGATGTTTCTTACTCTTGTGCCAGGAGCAGTTCGCTGTGACATCAAATGCTTTGAAAACCTAACCTGGTTTTTCACTAATTCTCCATTGTGGGTGTCTCCCTGGCTTCTAAAGTCTTCGTGTTAGAGACGGACGCTGCACTGACCATCCCGGCGCCATTGTTGGATTATCTCCTCATCCTAAAAGTATAATTGTAAGATCATAGATTCTTGTTACGTGTTCCCAAGTTGCCCTCCCCAAAGTGCGTGAGAAGTGCCAGGCCCCCACCCCCACCCCCACCGTCCCACTTGCTGACATGGGCCACTATCGCTCTTTGCAAATTTATTGGGCTGGAAATTTATCTTATCGATGCTCGGGCCGTATGTCCTGTATGTATTCGTGAGCCCAAACACGTGTTCACAGATACTGGGCATTCGTACCGTGGCACTTGGGCTCGTCTTCATTCCGCTGAGAGGGGTAGCAAACTCAAAGATGTTTCAGGGGTCTGGCACGTGAGTTACCTCAACATGTGAAGCCACGGTGGGAACCGGGAACGAGAGGGCCACAGATGAACTGGAAGAGTGTGCGCCATGCCAAACGGAAAGATTTTAAATATGCCACGCTGGCCAAACAAAGCATGTATGTGGCAAGTTCAGGACTGGGTTCCCAGGTGGCTCCCATGACTACCCCTCTAATCCATTCCCTTCAGATTGATGTCAGAATGGTCTGGGATGGGTCCAGCCGGAATGCGACTCCAAACCTTTTTCTCAGAACTCCCCTACCCCAACCCTCTCTGTCAAACGGAACTCTCAGAAGGTAGTGAGGTTCCTGGGGACAAACACTCTATCTTACAAGAGGCAATGCAGCAGAGTGGAAAGAGACAGAGAGAGAGAGAGAGAGAGAGAGAGAGAGAGAGAGAGAGAGACAACTCCAGGATCAGACAGTTCTGGGTCAAATCCCACCTTACTACCTACTAGCTGTGTGACTGCAGTCAAGTGACTTAGCCTCGCTGAGGCTTCGTTTCCTCATCTGTACTAAAACAAGAAAATGGCACTATGGCACCTACACCAAAGGACGGTTACGAGCATGCAAGAAGGGAATAGAAGCAAAGCACCGAATAAATACACTGTATAACGTAGTAGCCTTTCCCTGACTGCTTAGAGGCGCTCATGTACCTGCACAGACCCCAACCTCCTTCCTAAGGAAAATAGCCATGACAGCATTTTTCTTTCTTTCTTTTTATTTGAGAGACAGAGAGAGAGAGAGCAGGCATGCGAGTGAGGGAGAGGGGCAGAGGGAGAGAGACAGAATCCGGAGCGGGCTCCACACTCAGTGCCCAGCCCGACACAGGGCTCGATCACGTGACCCCGGGATCATGACCTGAGCCGAAATCAAGAGTTGGACGCTAGGGGCGCCTGGGTGGCTCAGTCAGTTGGTTGACTGACTGGCTCAGGTCATGATCTTGCAGTTCGTGGGTTCGAGCCCCGCGTCGGGCTCTGTGCTGACAGCTCGGAGCCTGGAGCCTGCTTCGGATTCTGTGTCTCCCTCCCTCTCTCTCTCAAATAAATAAACATTTAAAAAAACAAAAAGAGGTGGACGCTCAACCAACTGAGCCACCCAGGCGCCCCAGAACAGTGTTCTTCAAAGTGTTTCCACAAACTATCTTGCCAGAACAGGAATCATCTGTGAGCTCCCGTTCACTACGCAGATTCCCGGGACCCATCCCAGACCTCCTGAATCAGACTTTCTGGAGGCGGGGTCCGGGGGTCCCTATTCTTACAAGGGTTTCAGTTGGTTGTGACTCAACTGAAGACGAAGAACCAGTGGTTGCCATATTCACCTGAGTTGCACTTGACTTCTGCCGCACGGTGCCCCACCCTCAGGGTCTGGCAGTATGACCATGCCTTGATGAAAGACTGATCCAGAAGAATCCTCCTCTGAAAGCAAATCAGCCTCCCTGCCTTCCTTCCTTAGCTGTATATCATCGCTGCTATTGTGAATCACTTGCTATTAAGAGAATTGTTTGGGGAGGGGCGCCTGGCTGACTCAGTTGGTTCGGCGTGTGACTCCTGCTCTCAGCGTCATGGGTTTAAGCCCCTTGTTGGGGGTAGAGCTTACTTAAAAAAGAAACCGTCTGGGGATGCACCAGAATGGGAAAGCATCCACAGTAATACTAATCGCTAACGCTCACTAAGCACCAGTAATTGTACCGGGCATGCTAAGCAGTCTGTATGTATTAAATTAATCTAAACCACAGAACGACACCAAGAGGCGGGCGCTATCATTACCTTCATGTTACAAATGAGAAAACTGAGGCACAGAGAGGTTAGGGAAGTTACCTAAGGTCAGACAGACGGTAAATGAGATTTGAATCCAGACAATGTGACTCCAGAGCCCAGGCTATCATGTACTATGCTGTACTATTTCACTAAATTAACTGCCCTGGGCCTGATATTACTAATTTAAGATATATGTAATAATGCTGATATTTATTCCATTTAGTGTCCTTATTATTTTCTTTGGGTGAATGTACTTATCGGAGAAACCTGAAACTCTTCGGTTCCCCTGGGGTCTTCGCTTTTCTCGCCACAAATTCCAGCATGAGAGTCTGCAGCAAACGAACTGTAACAGTTGGGGTGTTTGTCTTTGGAGGCCACCTTTCCAGGCACCAGCATGAACAAAATCTATGTCCATGTTTACCCTATCTTTCTATTTCCCCAAATCACCAAGAGGCAGAAACCCTGCCCTTTGGACTGCTTTCATCTGGAAGGCTCCTCTCACTGAGGGTTTGGATTAAACAGACCCCCTACCCCGGAGAGAACAAAGCCCAGTGATAGGAGCTGGGCAAAGTATCCCGAGGACTTCTCAAATGGTCTGCGTAGTCCGAGATACAAAAATTTTTAACTTATTTTTTTAAATTTTTTACTGTCTGTTATTGAGAGACAGAGCATGAGCAGGGGAGGGGCAGAGAGAGGGGGAGACACAGAATCCGAAGCCGGCTCCACGCTTCGAGCGGTCAGCACAGAGCCCGACGCGGGGCTCAAACTCACAAACCGTGAGATCACGACCTGAGCCGAAGTCGGACGCTCAACCGACTGAGCCGCCCAGGCGCCCCTTATTTTTTATTTTAAGTGGGCTCTATGCCCAATGTGGGGTTCAAACTCATGACCCTGAGATCAAGAAGTGCATGCCCCACAGACTGAACCAGCTGTGCACTGTGAGATGCAACATTTTAAATCACCTCTTCCTTAATCTTTTAGGTAAAATGTAGTTTAAAATAATCAATTTTGCATTTTCTCTTAGAGAGAGAGACAGCAAGAGAGCGTGTGCAAGTGGGGGAGAGGCAGAGGGAGAAGGAGAGAGAGAATCTTGAGAATCTTAATCCACACCCAGCACAGAGCCCGATGCAGGGCTTGATCTCATGACCGGGAAATCATGACCCGAGCTGAAATTAAGAGTCGGACACAACTGACTGAGATACCCAAGTGCCTCAAAATAACCAATTTTGAAATAAAGTACTGACACATGTTACAACATGGATGAACCACATTATGCTAAGTGAAAGAAGCCAGACACAAAAGGACAAATATTGTAGGATTCCACTTACACGAGGTACCCAGAATAGGCAAACTCATAGAGACAGCAAGTAGAAAAGAGGTGGCCAGCTGCTGGGGGGAATGGGAAGTCCGTGTTTCACAGGCACGGTTTCTATCTGGGATGATGAAAGAGTTCTGGAGATAGCGATAATGGTTGCACGACACTGTGAATGTACTCAATGCCATTGACATGTATACTTAAAAAGGGTCAAAACGGCAAATTTTCTGGGTTTGTTTTTGGTTTTGTTTTTTACAAATCCCACAGCCTCCGAACAAAACCCAGTTTCGAACTTCATGGAATCAGTGCTTACCAGGCTGTCATCATTCTGGTCTCCAAACATTTCTTTAAAAATCTTGCCAGGATCAGGAATTGGAGGGAATATAATGATCTTGAGCCTTTAAGAAAACAGAGACATTTTTTGATCAAATCTTCCAGTCCACAGGAACGTCCCATTTAAATAAAGGCACTTTATTATTTTTTTTCAACGTTTATTTATTTTTGAGACAGAGACAGAGCATGAACAGGGGAGGGGCAGAGAGAGAGACACACACAGAATCCGAAACAGGCTGCAGGCTCTGAGCTGTCAGCAAAGAGCCCGGCACGGGGCTGGAACCCACGAACTGCGAGATCGTGACCTGAGTCAAAGTCAGTCACCCAACCGACTGGGCCACCCAGGCGCCCCACTCTCATCGTTTTTAAAACTGCTTTCCAGCTTGGGGCACCTGGGTGGCTAACTGGGTGAGGCGTCTGACTCTTGATTTCGACTCAGGTCATGACCTCGTGGTTCATGAGACTGAGCCCCGCGTCAGCGCGGAGGCTGCTTGCCTGCTCGCTCGCCTCCCCGCCCCCCAAGATAAATTTGAAAAAAACCACAAATGTTTTTTCCAGCTTAAATGAGATCTATTCAAGGGAAAAAAATTGTATACACGTGAGGTGAACAACATGATGTTGTACGTTATGAAACGATGACCACGATCAAGCAAATTAACACATCCATCACCTCACACGGTTATGACTGTGCGTGCGTGGGTGTGTGCGCGCGCGCGTGAGCCGTCCCCTATAATTGAATAATAACGGTGCTTTACTCATCATAGGCCAGATGGGGGTTCATTGCTCATAATTTAAAAAAAAAAAATCTTCCGAGAACAGGGTTCATTCCTCTTTAATTTTACTTTCTTCTTTTCTCCTCTCCCCATCTTTACGCCTCAGACTACCCTTTGGTGGCCCCACCTCATCTCCCAGGCTCTGAACATCGGCGTGGCCCAGGGCTCTGTCTCTCGCCCTCTGGCCCTCTCACTGTACGAGCGCTCTCTTCCAGTCTTAGGGCTTTGGGTCCAGTTACACGCCGAGGGCTCCCCAGATTCCATCTCCGGCCCAGACCTCTCCCTGAAACTCCAGGTTCATCGCACGACTACCCCTGTAACATCCCTACTTGGGTGTCTAACAGTCATCTGGAACTGACATTCCAAACTGAGTCCTCCCCTTTGCCCCAGGGCCAGCGCTCCGCACAATCTTCTCCCTCTCAGCCGACGGCTCCAGCGTTCACCCAAACCTGAGCTCTCCGTGAACCCTCAGTTTCCCTCGGGCCTCACGGGCAAGCGGCCATCAGCAAGCGCTCTCAGCTCTACCTTCCGAATGTGTCCCACCTCTGACCGCGTCTTACTACCGCCATCACTAACCTCCCAGGCCAGGCTTCCCACGTCTTTACCCCCCAAAACGCGGCAGCACCTTCTGACCAGCCCACCCGCTTCCGTTCCTGCCCGAGCCAGTTCTTCATTCGGCAATGTCGGTGACCTTTCATGACAGTAAAATCAGGGCGGGTTCCTTTCCCCGCTTAACACTCTGCAACGATTCCCCCTCATGCTTAGGACGAAATCTCAATTCCCCCGCCACGGCCCACATGATCTGGCTCCGCCAACCTCTCCAGCCTCATCTGGCGCTCGCCCCTTGCGCGCACCGAGTGCCGTCTCTCTACCGACCAGAGAGAGACAACTTGGCGAAGTTCTCTTTCCCGCAGCTTTAAAGTAGCAGCTTGCCCTGCATTAATACTGGACGGGTCATTGAATGCGTCACGCTAAGACTTCATTCCAAGCGCTACCGCCTTTGGCCGTATTAGGCATCTGAAAGAGCAGGGTGAACACGGGGCCTGTCGATGATCCCAAACACACGTGAAGGGAACGGTGCCGGAGCGGGGCCGCGGGAAATCAACGCGACACCTTCCTCCCCAGAAAATGGGCACGGTAATCCCTCTGGGCCGCGCCATACTACCAAAAGCCGTTGATAGCCAAAGTGCTCCTAATACGTGGGGCGAACGCCAAACGCTCTCACGAACAGTAGCAACTGGAGAGGCAGGGCCAACAGAAGCCGCCAAGCCGACCGGGGCAGCCGCCTCACCTTTTGAGATAAAGCAGGAGGACTATGATGGCACCCGCAACGATGACCGGGGTGGCGAGCAGCATGGTTATATAGAACGTGGGGTCGGTGTTCTCACCTGGCAAACGGAAAGCAAACAAAAAGACATGAGAAATCAAGCCCTTTTGAGGGGGGGAGAAACAGCAAGCAACGGTTGGATCAAACTAGCGAGATCGCAGCTATCTCTGCACTCCACCCCAACCTGGTTTCCAACTCTTCAATTCTATTTTTAAGGTTTTTTTAATGCTTATTTATTTCTCAGAGAGAGAGAGACAGAGACAGAGAGAGAGATTGAGAGACAGACTGTGAGCAGGGGAGGGACAGAGAGAGAGGAAGACACAGAATCCGAAGCAGGCTCCAGGCTCCGAGCTGTCAGCACAGAGCCGGATGCGGGGCTCGAACTCACGGACTATGAGATCATGACCGGAGCGTTTAACCGGCTGAGCCACCCGGGCGCCCCCAAAACGCTTCAATGATCTCATCTTCTGTTCCCTTAGCAGCGAAAAACAAAGTCCTGCTCTAGTGCCCAACATGCCACAGATGAAAAGACACCTTGAGGGTTGTCTGAAGCCAGGGTATCTTAACTAGTTCCAGACACTATTCCCAATGCTATTACACCTGTTAGAAAGATCATGTCATTAACAGTGACTCTCTCTTCCTGTTGGTCACTTAACCACTACTAGAACACCTAAGGCACTCCTAACTACCACCACTACTATTTTTAACTGAGCATCTGCTACATATGTGATACCGCCCGGAGTGCCTCGATGTGTTTCTACGTATGCTATGGAGAGAGACGATGGTGTCTCCCGTTTACACAGATGAGAAGGATAAGGCTCAGAGAGGGTTAGTGGCTCATTCAGAAGGGTTTAGTAAGTCAGACCTCAAATCCGGCACCGTCCAAGTTCCAAAGCTTCTCGATCACTTGAGAAGTTGACTTGCTACGCTTCACACGCAGAATGTCATGTCTGCTTACGTGCTCATCTTTTCCACGAGGGCATGACCACCTAGGAAGCATCGTCAGGGCCTAGCATCCCTGTGTTAGCCTCTAAGATGGCCCCAAATGATCCCTGCCTCCTGATACTCACGCCCTTACGTAACCTCCTCCCCTTGAGGGTGGGCCGGACTGACTGACTTGTCTGTAAAGAACTGAACGGCAGCGTTCATGTCATTGCCAAGATTAGGTTACAAAAGACTGTGGTTTCCACACTGGGTGTCCTCTCACACACTCTTGCTTGAGTCAGTTGCTTGAGCAAGCCAGTCGCCATTTCATGAGGCATGAAATGCCTCCCTGCATGAAAGGCCCAAAGGGCAAGAAACTGAGGGAGGCCTCTGCAGTAGCTCCCTAGGGCTGCTGGAGTGAATCGCCACACATCGGTTGGCTTAAAACAATAGACATGTGTTCTCTCACAGTTCCGAAGGCTAGACATCCAAAAGCAAGGTATCCGCAGGGACGTGACGTGCTCCCTCTGAAGGCTCTGGAGACGAATCCCTCCTTGCCTCCTCCTAGCTTCTGGTGGCTCCCGGGAACCCTTGGGGTTCCTTGGCTATACCTGCATCACTCCATCGTCTGCCCCCATCCTCACAGGGCCTTCTTCCCTAGGAGGTCTCTTCGTGTTTCTGTGTATCCTCTCTTATAATGATACTAGCCATCAGATGCAGGGTCTACTTTAATGGTGTGACCTCATCTTAACCTGATCACATCTGCAAAAACTATTTCCAAATAAAGTCACATTCACAGGTATAGGAGTTGGGAGCCGAACATATCTTTTTGAGGGATACGATTCAACCTGCCACAGCCCCCAACCAACAGCCAGCAAGGAACAGAGGCTTTCCGACGACCACATAAGTGAGCTTGGAAGTGGGTTTCCCAGCCCCAATCAAGCCTTCAGATGAGACTGCAGTCCCACCCAACAGCTTGACTGTAACCTCATGAGAGAACCTGGCACAGAGGCACTGAGCCACGCTGTGCCCAGATTCCTGACCCACAGGAACTGTGAGATGCTAAATGTGTTTTCTAAGCCACCAAATTTTGAGATTCTTTGTTATGCAACAATAGATAAGGAATACAACCATGCCTGGCACCTAGCTTGCTCAGTCCCTCAATTAGTAGGGAACCGATTACCTCAATAACCTGTCTCTCGACTGTCAGAGAGCTATTAGAAAGTTCTTCCGATAGTCCTATTTTGCCCCAAGGAGCCACAAAAGAAAATAACCTATCTCCTCTTCTACTTAAAATTCAGCAATCAGGACTCCTCACCCCCAGGCTTGCTTCATCCAACCACTTGTCCCTAAGTTTTGTGATTCTTCAACATCCCGATGACCCTCTCAAGGATAGGTTCCAGTCTGCCAATGAAGCTCCTACAACGTGGCGCCCAGAATAGAACACTGCACGCTTCTGATGTGGCCAGGACACTGTGTCCCACCCTGTAGTATCCCCTTGTTCTGGGTGCTACACTATCACTGCAGCCTGTGGCTACACACTGGGGGTATTTAAGGATCCAATGCTGAGTCACTCCTACACTCCACCCCACAACACACACACACACACATCCATGAAGCGTAGCTCTTTCTAGGGGCGCCTGGGTGGCTCAGTCGGTTAAGCGTCCGACCTCGGCTCAGGTCATGATCTCACGGTTGGTGGGTTCGAACCCCGCGTCAGGCCCCGTGCTGACAGCTCGGAGCTCGGAGCCCGGAGCCTGCTTCGGGTTCTGTGTCTCCCTCTCTCTCTGCCCCTCCCCCTACTCACGCTCTGTCTCTCTCTCTCTCTCCCAATATGAAAATTAAAAATTTTTTTTTTTTAAAAACAGCACAGCTCTTTCCAATCCTGTTCTTGGGCCTGACACCCAGTTTGCTCAGGCACTCCATTGATACACGAAACTGTTGTCTTCAAACCCGGATACGGTTTGATCTCTATCAAACACCATCAAGGTCACTGTTCTACTCTTGATTCTGTCACTAGCCCACAGGATGGTCCTCTAGCAAAGCACGAGCTATGGATTTCATCATGCCCGCCTCCTGGTATGTTGTTCAGGTTGTTAAAAACATAGAGACAGGACAGGAGAGAGAGAGTGACGCCTTTCAGATTATGGGTTTTCAAAGGGCTACGCGGTGTGAGTTAAACCTGGGTGATCTGGCTGTAATTGAACAGCAAATGCAGTGCGATTGCAGCTTCCCCTGGAGGATGTCGGGAATGCGGTGCCGCCCCCTCTCCCAGTCGATCTTCCGCTTCGGCCCCTCGCTGGTTTCCGTGGCGCGCGAGGTCCCGTCCCCTCACCTATGCTCATCGCCTGGCTCCAGTTGCTCCACAGCCTGTCGTCCTCGTAGCACAGCTTATTCGTCCTCACCCGGATTCTCACTGTGTTCAGAGTGTCAGGGAGGATGCCGGGGACCATGAAGCAAATTGTACCCTGAGAGGGGAGACAAACACACACGAGGCATGTTACCGGGCGGTTCTTTTTCTGCTTCTGAATCCCGCGGAAATAGAATTCTCTGCCAAATTCTGTACGCGGTCAAGACTTGGATGGCGGCCCCCATGATCTGACTTTAGCTCCTCAAACGAAACTTGGCAATAACCCGCAAAACAAAGGAGTTTCTTTTGCTCAGAGCAGTTACCGTTGAGGCCACAGTCACCCCGCCCCACCCCCAGTCACTCTGTGAGCTTAAACCCAAAGAGCGAAAGTTGAATTTACTGACCTCCAGGTTTCCCTCAAATTCTGAATTCTGACACTTGGCTTCTTCAACCTGGAAGATATAAAAAACAAATACATTCAAAAAGAATTAAAAGACTCCATCGCATCATTTCACCATTTCTAACAAGGTTTCCTTTCATCCCATCTGAAGGGGACCAGGTGCCGTGAAAGGCTAGTTTTGTTTTGTTTTAATAAGATGCGTTGGATCAATTATATACACATACAGGGAAAAAAAAAAACCTCTTGACCCCTACCTCACAGTATTTACAAAGTCAATTCCAAATGGACCGCACATCTAAATGTGAAAGTTAAAATAAACTGAACAAACAAATACATAAATACGGCGAGATTTTAGAAGAAAACGTAGAACGTCTTCATGACCTTGAAGCAGGAAAAGATTTCTTAAATAAAACCACACAATAGTAACCCTAAAGGAAAGATTGTTATAAAGTCATCTGTATCAAAATTCCAAACTTCTTCTGTTCATCCAAAGATATCCTATTCAGGAAATTTGAAAAGTGACGCATAGAGTGAGAGAAGATGCCTGCAATCGCTGACAAAGAACTTACACACATACCTATTTATAATATATACTTATATTTATATGTAACACACCCACGCACATATACATATAGCCCACCAACTAACGAGGAAGAGGCAGACAACCCCACAGAAAAACTGGCAAAAGATTTGAGCAGGCATTTCACAAGAGGGTATTCCAAACTGCCAATGAACATGTGCAAAAGCGCTCAACTTCGTTAATCATCAGGGAAATGCAAATTAAATCCACAAGATAATGACACACACACGCCTATCAGACAACACCGAGTGCTGATGAGGATGGGAAGCACCTAGCGTCCTCAGCTTCTGCTCTTCATGGTGTAAATAGGCACAACCATTTGGGAAAAGTCTGATCATCACTTAGAGACCATCACATATAACCCTCTGACCCATACAGGCTCAACAGAAACGTACGCACATGCGCACCAAGAGACAAATACGCAAATGTTCATAAAAACTCTATTCATAAAACTCCCAACCGGAAACTATCCAAATAGGCCCCAAAGGGAGAATGGATAAATCAAATGTGATAATACCGACATGACAGAACCAATGCAGTGAGAACGAAACACTGACAACTACAGGCAACGATGTCTGTGGCTCTTCCTAAACGGAACGCTGGGTGAAAGAAGGCAGACGCGCACAAAAAGCAAACGCTGGAGGGGCGCCTGGGTGGCTCAGTTGGCTGGGCGTCCGACTTCGGCTCAGGTCACGGTCTCGCAGCCCATGAGTTCGAGCCCCGCGTCGGGCTCTGGGCTGATGGCTCAGAGCCTGGAGCCTGCTTCCGATTCTGTGTCTCCCTCTCTCTCTGCCCCTCCCCCGTTCATGCTCTGTCTCTCTCTGTCTCAAAAATAAATAAACGTTAAAAAAAAAAAATTAAAAAAAAAAAAAAAAGCAAACGCTGGAGAATTCGTTCATACAAGGCTTCAAAGAGGCAACAGAGGCGCCCGGGTGGCTCAGTCAGGCACCCAACCCTTGGTTTTGGCTCAGGTCACGATCTCACAGTTCATGAGATCGAGCCCCGCATCGGGCTCTGCGCCAACAGCGTGGAGCCTGCTTGGGATTCTTTCTCCCTCTCCCTCTGTCCCTCCCCTGCTCACTTGTTCTCTCTCAAAATAAATAAATAAACTTTAAAAACAAATAAATAAAAATAAAAAGAGGCAACAAAACTAATCTATGGGATCAGAAGTCAGGGTAATAGTCACGCGTTGGGAGAGTGACTAAAAGGGGTCATGATGGGGCTTCTGGGGTGCTGGTTACATAAATGAAAAATCATTTGCAAAAATCACTTGTGAAAAACTCATTGAGCTATGCATAACCACTTGTGTGATTTTTCTATAGGATACTCTACATCAATTAAAAGTTTAAAAAAAAAAACCAGTCTCCCTTGTTGAGAGTATGATATCGAAAACGACTGAGTCAGAGAAAACAAAGTATAATGCAAAATTCTCTTCCACACAATTTGAATCACTTGCTGTCTGATGTAGACAGAAAGATCAGTTCCTAAAATGCAAATATTTCAAAAGTGCAGTGAAAAATCAATAGTGAAAATCTGTTGCTTAGTATAAGTAGTCTACTTCTGGCCAACAGGTTACATGAAAAGATGTTCAACATCATTAATCATCAGGGAAATGAAAATCAAAACCACGATTAGGCATCATCTTATACCTATTAGAATGGCCAACGTCAAAGACAAGAAATAACAAGTGTCGGTGAGGATGTGGAGAAAGGGGATCTCTTTTGCATTGCTGGTGGGAATGCAAACTGTTGCAGCCACTGTGGAAAACGGTATGGAGGTTTCTCAAAACATTAAAAATAGAATTGCCCTATGATCCAATAATCACACTACCCAAAAGGAACCAAAACACTAATTCAAAGGGGTACATGCACCCCTATGTTTACTGCAGCATTATTTACCATAGCCAAGATATGCAAAGTGTCCACCCATAGATGAAGAAAGAAGATGTGGTATGTATATATGATAGAATATCATCCAGCCGTGAGAAAGAAGGAAAAATCCTGCCATTTGTGACAACATGGATGAAACTCAGGGGGCACTGAAAGACAAATACCATATGACCTCATATATATGCGGAATCTACAAAAGTTGAGTTCAGGGGCACCTGGGTGGCTCAGTGGGTTAAGCATCTGACTTCGGCTCAGGTCATGATCTCACAGTTCGTGGATTCGAGCCCCATGTTGCGCTCTGTGCTGACAGCTCGGAGCCTGGAGCCTGCTTCGGATTCTGTGTCTCCCTCT